GCTGTATCAATACTTTCATAGATAAGCATATAAGCTATATCAACACGTTAACTGACAAGCATATGAGCAGTATCAGTGGAGTCCATCCCCTATCTCCTCCCAAACAACATCCGGTTTAGAGGTCCATCCCCTATCTTCCCCTAAACCGTGGAGTACATCCCCTATCTCCTCCCACACAACACAGATGTATATACAGCATTAGTCATATACAACAATCAATCAATACAAAACGTTAATGTATTCTATCAACCGTCATACTCTATGACATATCCAATTGATTAGTTTTAGTTTGCTTAATCATCATGCATTGTCTAAACAAGTCAACTAGACCTCTCCACCGGTAGCCCAAGCAATTATTTCTAAACAGATAATAAAAGCTCCAACAGATAAAATATCAATGTTTTCAAAAGTGAACGATTAATAAATCCAACTCCACTATTCTACTTTATAATGAGCCAATTTCATTATTTCCAACTCAATTCCATATAACCACAGTTTTTTCAAATTAATCATACCAATTAATTTATACAACCAATTAGGGTTTTCTACCTCATTTCCCAATATTTACCCAATAGTCTATATATCAACAACCAAAAATAATATCATTATTTTGAAACCCACAATACACATTTTAGAATCAAAATAACAAAATCCTCTTTTAACATTTTGAAACCCTAAGTCCCAAAATTACCGAACTTCAACACTTTATCAAAACAACCAAAAATCTATGTCAAAGACCATAAGAGTGAGTAGGAATCCCTACCTCAAAAGATGACACCCAAAGAAGAAGATGACGAAAACGAAGTTACTCTAAATCACAAGTTTCTCAGATCAAAATGTACCCCTCGACGATCAACCCAACTTTTACAAAGGCCAAAGGGGAGGGAAGCACTCTAACTAGATCAAACCCTAGAGAGAAGGGAGTTTCTAGAGAGAGAAGCTCTCAAATGGCGTTTTGGAAAAGTAAGAGAGAGAGAGAGAAAGTGTAGAAAATGATTCAAAAATGCCCAGCTGCCCTCTGTTATACGACATTCCCGCTCGAGCGAAAAACACAACGCTCGAGCGTCAGGAACAAAAAACTAAGTCCGCTCGAGCGCAAGAAAGCTCGCTCGAGCGCACGAAAGCTCGCTCGAGCGCCAAGACACAAGAATAAAGCACATTCACTCGAGCGTGAAAACCAGTCCGCTCGAGCGTAGATTTTCATCTCCCAAAACTTTTCAGAAAAAAGAACTACCTGCTCGAGCTCCAACAAGACCGCTCGAGCGCGACACGCTCAAGCGCAGTAAACTCGCTCGAGCGTAGAAAACACACCTGCAGAAGTTTTTGCAGGGACACGAAATACTAGAAGGGTGTAAACCACGCTCAAGTGCAGAATGACCCGCTCGAGCAGACCATACAAAAAAAAACTGGGCAACAACAATGGGAGCCAAAGCTCTACCAACCTGTAACAACTAAGCCCAACACAACCTATAACTCAAACAAATGGAATCAAAGGACGACAACAAGGTAGATATAACTATCAGCTCCACGGAACCAAAGTCCGGAATACAACAGATACAGAAAGGGAAAACCGGGATCACTATAATTTATCGCTAATTAAAAAGTATTTTTTTTAAATATACACTATAGTCAAATTATTCCTTTAAACTCTCGTTTGAGATGAGCTAATTTAATCAGATTTTTTGGTATTTTGATTATTTTAATTTGACTAAAAAAATTATGTTTGAGATAAATTTTGATTTTTTTGTAGTTTAATTTAATGATTGTGAGAGAAAAAGTAAAATAATTATGATTTAAATGTGACATTTTATCTTATTAACTAAATTAAGTATATTTTATCTTTAATGATTAATTTAGCTAAAATAGTCCATGCCAAACTGAACCTAAATCTCTATAGACCTAGATGCACCAAATAACTGTTCTCTTCAAAAGTAAATATATTCCCTTAATCTCTCCTCTCATCTATCTATCGGAAGTGAGGTCAAGCACAGAAATAATTGTGGTATCTTTATTTGAGATATATTATAGTCTTATTTTTATAATCTAAACTATTATTTTATCGGGTTTGTTAAATACTTAATACTTATTAAAAATTATATTAATCAAATATCAATAATTATATGATCAAATTACATATTGTTTATACTATTTCTTAAAAAAAAAATTTATTATTTATTTTTTTAATTATCGATTATATACTTATTGATATCTGATTAATATGATTTTTGATAGATATAAAATATTTCAAAACTTTATAAAATTAATAATTTAAATTATAAAAATAATTTCATAAGAGACAGTAGAGTCTTATCTCCCTATCAAATAGTTTCCACTTTGTCTTATCTCCCTATCAAATAGTTTCCGTCAAAGTGGGGAGTGAGAATGTTGGATTGTTGGTCAATGCGATTTGCGTGGGCCTTCCCATGTGACTCTCGACCAACAGAGCTATCATGGATTACGCACTTTTCATACGATTAATGTTGCCGCGGTGTTGTTGTTGTTATTATTATTATTATTTTATCGTTGTGTTACACAGTAAAGAATTAGAAGACAAATTGAACTTGAATTCCATGCTGCCAATTCTTGCGACAAATATTGGTTAAAAAAAAATATCTTCGACAAATGAGATATGGTAAATAACAAATCAATGTAGAGGTTGGAAGAAAAGAAAATTCAGAGTAATGATAAAATTATAATTTTTTTCAAGTATTGGTAATTATTTTTTTAACAATACATATGATCTTTAATTTTTCTAATAAGATAAAAAAAAAAAAAAAAACAATTTCCTCACATGTGAACCCGCTTAGGGTTGGTTTGAGAAGTAGGTTAGTTTTTTAATTTTTTGACTTCTTGACTATTTTAGCCTGAGGCTAAAAAGTCTCCTTTGAAAGGATTTTTTGACTTTTTGTGAGAGAAATAATGTGATGATTATGTATTGGATGTGATCGTATTTTATCTTTTTGTGACTAAAATAGCCCTAAATCCAATCCATCTTTCCAAACAGAAACTTGGTTCCAAATTTTTGTGTCTTATTTTATGAAAATTTTAAAATGTGACCCACATAGGTTAGCTCCACTTATGCGTTGGGGATGGATATGGTTTAATTTAGTTTGATTTTTATATAAATCAAAATCAAGTTGGCTCTATAAAATTTAGAATTAAATCTATTTGTGAAAATCTTGGAATCAAACCAACTCGAATCATGAAAAGGCAATTCAATTGATTTAGAATCAAGTTTTCATGAACTTTGTCATCCTTATAACATAATCACAATTAGCTTAAAAATCAAGTAAATATATTATCATTTTACAAATGAAATTGTCTACTATAAATAACAAATGATTACTAACTTATGAATGTTTATTATTAAAGTTATTGAGTATCTACTGTAAATTACAAACCGGTCCAGCAAGGATTAATGTGGACTTCATGATCTTGGCTTCTCGAGCAATTCTGAAATAGGAAGGAAAAAGTTATCCACTGGAGTAGTGCTAGATACCGAATTATATATATGTATACATGTAAATGACATGATTCTATTTAAATTATAATTATAATTAAGTCATGGATCAAATTGTGAAGTACGATTCATTTATTTTAACAACTAATCAAATTGTGAAGTGTCATTTGCTTATTTTAATAACTATGACCAAATTATATATTAAAAAAATCAAACCAAACAATATTATTTAGTTTAGACCAAATTAATTTACAATTTTTTAAATTTTTTTACTCAACCCTATATGGGTCTCATAATATTGTCTCGTCATTTAAAAAAAAATTAAAAAATATTGTCTCGTCATTTAAAAAAAAAATTAAAAACTGCCTTTGATTTGACCCGCTTACGTGAATCATGTATATTTGTCTCGTATGCCTTGTATTATAAAATTTTTAAAAGGCGACAGTCAACTTTACTTATAAAAGTGTTACATTCTTATCTCACATTGTATATCTCAATCTATAAAAAAAATTACAGCTAAAATATGATTGACAACACACTAATTAAAATTTTACACAGTACACCTGAGACAATTTTTGAAATAAAATTTCGAATAAATAACAATTTTAAATCAGAAAAATAATATGTCAGTGGATTTTGTAAAAATTAATTACAAATCTATAATAAAGTTCAAGAGAATTTTATAAAACCCATTCTATGTCATATGCATATTTAATTGTAATATTTTCTTTTTAGTTATGACATTATTTTGAACTATTTAGTTATACCTTATGTAATATTTAGTTATAACTTTTTTTTTTTTAGTTATGACTCTGAAAATATGAAATTATACTATTTTCAGTGTACATATCACATATCTTGTGAGAAGTGTGTACTATAATCTTTCCCAATGTTCAATACCATATAATAACACAAGTCAAACTATAAACAATATTAGTGAATTAAGGTTAAAAAGTTTTTTTTTTTTTTTGAATATAAACCACAGTGAAACTATTTCTTTTAAACCCTCGTTTGAGATGAGCTAATTTAGGCCTCTTTTGGAAAGATAATAAAAATTCACTTTTGGGCTTTCAATCTAATGTGGGTCACACCACCTCTCTATTTTTTTACATGTTTTTTTAAAAAAAATAAAATCAAAAAGTTAATTTTTAACTAACTTTTCAAAATAATCTTTAATCGGACGTTTTGATATTTTAATTATTTTAGCTTAATTAAAAAAAAAAAGTGTCTGTGATAAACTTTGATTTTTTTTTGGTAGTTAATTTGATGATTGTGAGAGAAAAAGTAAAATAATTATGATTTAGATGTAATATTTTATCTTATTAATTAAATTAACCGTATTTTGTCTTTAATGATTAATTTAACTAAAGAGCAATGATACATCCCTTAATTTTGAAATTCTAATTGACCTCTAATAATATGACAAAAAATAAAAATAAATAAAAAAACACAATATCAAAATATCCCATTACAATAAAACTCACTCCCATTAGAAAGAACTTATTAGATCTCCTCTACTAGAGTTCCCAACCATATTTGTTCAGCTAAAATAGTTCAGGCCAAACGAAGCCTATTTCTCTATAGACCTAGATGCACCAAATAAACTGTTCTCTCTAAAAGTACTTATATACCCTTGGATCATCTCATCTCTTCTCTCATCTGTCACCTCCCTTCCCTACAGCATCCACTTGCCAAATCTTACTCACAAAGATTGCAAGTTTTTTCTAACATCCTCAATCTCAAGTCAAGTGTATATACATATATATATATATAGAGAGAGAGAGAGAGAGGAACAACACAATGGCATTCTCAATGGTTATATTATCACCGTCTCCTCCCCGACTCTACCTGGGAAAGACGAAACCAATTTTACAGCACAAAACTGGCATTCGGTGTTCTCTCTCTTCTTCTTCTTCTTCTTCTTCTTCGACACAAATCTCAACCAAATTCGATCTTCGAACCTACTGGAAAACCCTAATTGCAGAAATCAATCAGAAGCTGGACGAAGCCGTATCTGTGCAGTACCCACAGCAGATCTACGAAGCAATGCGTTACTCTGTTCTCGCTCATGCTGCCAAACGTGCTCCTCCGGTGATGTGCGTCGCCGCCTGCGAGCTCTTCGGCGGCAACCGCCTCGCCGCCTTCCCCACTGCCTGCGCCCTCGAAATGGTCTCTTATTTCTCTCATTATCATCACATAAATCCCTCTTTTCACTTCAATTTCATTTACTACTCTAGTTACTTTTTTTTTTTTATTCGCAGTTTCTGGGTTTTTCGGGATCTCTCTGTGATTGATCTGTTATAAATGAAGTTTTGGGAAATCAAGAATCTGAGTTCATCCCTGAAAATTGCTTAGATAAATGTAGGTTTCATTTTGATAGTTGTGTTTGATTTTGAAACGGAAGTGGCAAGAGTATGTGAAATGTTTCTCCTTATTATCCATCCAGAAAATTCTGAGTGGGGGATTGTTTAATGTAGAATATAGTGGAGATTAATTTCTGGATCAGTAATGCTAGGTTTCTCAGTAATGCTAGGTATCATGAAAAGTCTTTCATGAAAATGGTCATGAAAGATTTGTGACCTTTGGATTACACTTACAATAACGCACCACACACTAATCAAGGTAATCTAAAGGTCACAAATTTTTCATGATCCTTTTCATGACAAAATTTTCACGATCTCTAACATTTCTCTTTCTGGATTGATGGAAATGGGTTTGTATTATTACTCTCATATATGTTTGGGAGAAGGATGGTTAGTGAAAAGGTTACTAATGTAAGGATCGTTAGTGAAGGGATTAAATAAAAATGTATTTGTTTTGATGATAATGTAAGAAATGGTTACTGATGTATTATTAAATTATTTTTACATACAATAAATAAATAAATTATTTCTATATGAAAAAAAAACAATAATAAAAATAAATAAATAAATAAACTAGAACAGACAGATACACTTGATAAAAAATAAAAAAATAATAATAATAATTTTTTTTATATAAAATAAACTCAAGCATGGAAATATACAATCTATTAGTACTTTTAGTTCTCAAATTTTAAATTTTGATATTTTAATTTTTTATGTTATGAGTAGGGAAAATTTTTACATAATAGAAGAGAAATGTGAAATAAAAGAATGGGTTTACATGTAGAGTACACCTTCACATTTTATCTTGGTGACTCCTATGATTTACTCTTTTAAAATATATGATCAATTATACTTTAGTTCCTAACATTATTGTGATTCAAAATCATTACCGAATATAGGAGTATTTTTTAAAATTTTACATAAAGTTTTACCAGAAACATTTTCAAAAAGTATGAATTTTGTTTGGTTTGTTTCTACATCATGCACTGTTTTGAATTGCCTTCCTAAAGTATGCATTTCGTTGAATTTTGATATCTATTTTTTGTTTGGTTCATTTGTTTTTTTTTTTTTTTTTTTTTCAGAGTTGTCGACCTCTCCATATTGATGTTGAAAGATATTGATGGTTGGGAAATTAAAGTCTAACAAATCACATAATTTGAAGACTAATGAAAATTTTAGAAGATTTAAAACTAATGTGTAACAAATCATATCTTTTTCCTATGATTTACTTTTTTAAAATATATGATCAATTATACTTTAGTTCCTAACATTATTGTCATTCAAAATCATTACCGAATATAGGAGTATTTTGTAAAATTTTACATAAAGTTTTATCAGAATCATTTTCAAAAAGTATGAATTTTGTTTGGTTTGATTTCTACATCATGCACTGTTTTGAATTTCCTTCCTAAAGTATGCATTTCGTTGAATTTTGGTATCTATTTTTTTTTTTTTTTTTTTTTTCAGAGTTGGAGAGTTGTCGACCTCTCCATATTGATGTTGAAAGATATTGATGGTTGGGAAATTAAAGTCTAACAAATCACATAATTTGAAGACTAATGAAAATTTTAGAAGATTTAAAACTAATGTGTAACAAATCATATCTTTTAAATAGGATTAGTGTAATAAACTTGAACATGTAATTTGCCAAATTTATCAAAGATTAGCATTTCATTAGTGGTTATTTTATTACAATTAACAGGTCCATGCTGCTTCACTGATACACGATGACTTACCTTGCATGGACGACGACCCATCCCGGCGTGGACAACCTTCAAACCACACGGTTTTCGGAGTAGACATGGCAATCCTTGCCGGCGACGCCTTGTTTCCTCTCGGCTTCCGCCACATTGTCTCCCACACGCCTGCGGACTTGGTCCCCGAGAACCGCCTCCTCCGCGTCATTGCGGAGATGGCCCGGACAGTGGGGTCCACCGGCATGGCCGCGGGCCAATTCCTCGATCTCGAGGGCAGGCCCAACTCCGTTAAATTCATCCAAGAGAAGAAATATGGTGAAATGGGTGAGTGCTCTGCCGTGTGCGGCGGCCTGTTGGGTGGGGCAGGCGAGGATGAGATCGAACGGTTGAGGAGGTACGGTCGAGCCGTTGGGGTTTTGTATCAGGTAGTTGATGATGTGTTGGAAAAGAAGATGCAGAGAGAGGAGACAAATGGGGAGGAGAAGAGGATGAGGAAGAAGAAGAAGAAGAAGGGGAAGAGCTATGTGGGAGTGTATGGGGTGGAAAAGGCCATGGAAGTGGCAGAGGAATTGAGAGGGAAAGCCAAGAGAGAGCTGGATGGGTTTGAGAAGTATGGTGAGAGGGTGTTCCCACTCTACAGTTTTGTAGATTATGCAGCTGATAGAGGTTTTAGTGTTGGTTATCAAGTTTAATTTGTAAATTCTTTTCCATAACACTATGTTTGGACACGTAAGAGCAAAGAAAAAAAGAAATAATTACTTAAGTTATAAGATACGATAAAAGAAAAGAAATGATTGTAGTTTCTATTTAATTTATAAATTCTTTTCAATAACACTATGTTTGGGAACTTAGGAAAGAAAAGAAAATAAATGATTACTTAAGTTATAAGAGAAAATAAATGAAATGAAATAATTGTGATTTCTCTCCTTTTTGTTTGGATAAGTAAGAAATAAAAGAAAATAAATTATTGGAATTTCTCTCTTTCTTGTTTGGTTATAAATTTCATAAGAGAAAAGAAAAGAAACTATTTTATATTATATTACTAAAATAATATTTTTTTTATATTTTGTCAATCATTTTATTTTTTTTATTTTTAGAGGGCCAAAATTCATATTATGAAAATATAGGAACATATTGATTTCTTCCCTCCCAATCTCACCACTTTTGGGAAGATTGAAAATGAGAGTTATAAGATAAATAAGTTTCTCTTCATTTTTCTCCACTAAAATTATTCAAACAAGTAAGAAAAATATATATCTCTCAATTTCTTTTCTTTTCTCTCCAAATCACTCAATCTAAACATAGTGTAATGTTTTTTATTATTTTTTTTTTGGGTGTGTTGGGGACTGTAGTTTTTTCAGTTGATTTTAAATAAGTTTTAATTAAGTTACATTTAAAAAATAATATATAAAAATTTATCTAGTCAAATTTAAAAAATTAACGAATTTCAAATCACATTTAAATTTGACTTCTTTTGTCTCTTGAATAAATTTTTAACGAATAGATCCCGAGTCCAATCTGATTCAATCATGATGATAATCATGACGATCTGAGTAGGGTATTTTGTAAAGTTTATCAAACAGATTATTTAAGTAAAAAATTTAAATTGATCAAATATAGGTAATCAATTAATTGAATCATTTTTTTATTTTTTATTTTTTAAATAAACAAAAGGTATGATTTTATAAACAAATTATTCATTTTTTTATACAAATATGATTTTATTATGTGATTATCAATATTCTATTAATTATTTTTTTTTATTTTTTAATGGATGATTTGTTTGGAACACTTTACAAATTGAACGGCTCAACGACTGAAGTTGACCCACCGAAGTGGACAGCATGAGATAGCCGCATATGGTTTGGGCCTTGCAATGTTCAGAGGCACATCGTGGAAGCCTGGACAGAAGGCTGGTGGTCCGCAAAGCCTGGGAAGCCCATCAATTAGTTTTTAGGGGCTTGGTATCCACATATAAGCCCATATGATTGGGTTGGACTGTTTCAACCCAAACTTGTGAACCCGGCCTATCCCATTCGTTAAAAATCCATTTAAACTAGCCCAAACTCATGTGCAGATTAATATTGGATTGCGTCATGCCAAACAATTTAGAAGTGGGTTTGATTTGGGTTAAGCTAGGCTGGGCTGGGCTGGGCTGGGCTGGTCTGTGCTGTGCTGGGCTGGGCTGTATTTTGCTTTCAGCAGATGCGACCCAAATGTATGGGACCACATAGGTGGGATCTGTATGTGGGGCTCACATTTTGTCTCTGTGATATTTTTGGCAAACAATAGGTTATAAGTGGGTGTATAAGTAAAATTAAAGATCGCAATGGCTTTATCAACTTGACCTTTGAATTTATGACCATTTCATTATTTTAAATGATATCTATATGAACAACTGAGTCAACTATTATGTTCTAGGTTGGGTTTTGGATTGTTTTAAACTTGTTTTTCTTTTCTCTTTCTAAACACTTATCTAAATTAATTTTAGTTTTAAATTGTTTTAAACTTGATTTTTTTTTCTCTTTTTAAATTCTTATCTAAATTAAACAATCCGGGAGAAAATTAGGGAGGGATTGGTAGCAGCATTTAATGAACTTAAAAAGATGTCTGTATTCAATGAACACCGGTTTCTCTTGCTGAGCAAAAATGTATCGGATGACATCTCTTGATGAGCAAAATGTATCGGATGACATCTATTTCTGTTTGTTGTGTTACAAATGTGCAATAGTAATGCTATACAAAATATTAATAATAATAAATAAATAAATAAATAGATTATATATATTTTATTAGTACTACATGCATCAATTAATGTACACACTAATATACTGTTATACTATTATTATTGATCTCACTTATTACACAAATTATAAATATCCAGAACTTCTGAAAATATATCACATCATCAGTTAGTAAACTAATTAGCACATCAATAAATACATATAGTATTATTCATATTTTATTATGTGAGCCTCACATTTTGTCTCTCTAATATATTTTGCAAAGGATAAGATATTAGTGGATTATAGAATATTAGTGGATTCGTAAGTTATATTAGAACGAAAGTCAAACATCCTGCAATAACATGTGTGGTTAAATCCAAAAAAATAAATAAATATCATGGTTGTTATTAAAGTTTCATGTTATGTTTCAATTATAAATTTAAGAATTTAAAATAAAAAAAGAAAAGAAAATGTCAATACAATCTATATATTATATAACAAAAGGGAGTTTTTAATCCATAAGGCTTCAAACAGCTCTAAGTTTCTAATCTAAATTTCATAATTTTTTGATTTTTAAAAATTAAAAAAATCTTCTATTATCTAGCTCTTATTTGTGTATTTTTTTTATTAAATTATAAAATAAAATTTTTAATTTAAATTATGTTACTACAATTATAATGAGATCAATATTCACATGTGTTATAATGATATGTCATAATATTATCGATCTCAACATAATATGTTATTAAATACATGTATTCAAATTATTAATCGCTATTAAAAGTTTATATTTTTATTTTTTGTCATTTTAGGTTTTAAATTTTATAAAATAAAAATTATATCATTCTAAACTCTAAAGACTTAAACAACAATTTTTTTAATACAAACATTTTTTTAAACAATAGACAAAAACATTAAGAAAATGAATGATTTTTTAACAATTGTCAAACATAATGGATTTTTTTTTTTTTTGTATCTCAATTGTCAATTAAACAAATTAAAATAAAAAATAAATTTGTTTGGCTTAAATATTTAAGAAGTGACTTTTGCTAAAATTAAATAGAAATAAACATTTTTTTTTCTATTAAAAGTGATAGTTTGTGAAACTAATAAAAAAAAAATGAGAGTTACACATGATAATTTATTGTTTCAGCAATGTTACAGACCAACACTTTCACCCATAATGATGTGACAAGGGAGTTGAGCCTCATGTCATTGAGTGTATAGCAAATTAAAACTTGACACGTATGATACTACATTATTATGGATACAATTGTGGGTGTTTTTTTATGGGTCTCAAATATTTTTTTTATTGTTCATCTATACTTTTTTAGCACTTGCGAAATATAGTGAATCCTGTTAAATTTTTTTTTTAATCTCAATTGTCAATTAAAAAAAAAATGGCCCAAATTGCTAAAAAGGGACTTTAACTAAAACAAATAGAAATAAATGTTATTTTTCTAAAAAAAAAGTGATGGTTTGTGAAATATCTTTTTTTATTTTTAAAAAAAAATGAGGAATGATACTACATTATTATGGATACAATTGTGGGTGTTTTTTTATGGGTCTCAAATATTTTTTTTATTGTTCATCTATACTTTTTTAGCACTTGCGACATATAGTGAATCGTGTTAATTTTTTTTTTTAATCTCAATTGTCAATTAAAAAAAAATGGCCCAAATTGCTAAAAAGGGACTTTAACTAAAACAAATAGAAATAAATGTTATTTTTCTAAAAAAAAAAGTGATGGTTTGTGAAATATCTTTTTTTATTTTTAAAAAAAAAAATGAGGATTATAAGTGATTATTTATTGGTCATTTAGAATTATTTTCAAATCAAATGAGAATACCATTCTAAATTTTCTTCTTGTCTTTTTTTTTTTAATCCAGATACTTATTTTGTAAGAAATTTAATTTTTTTGGTATATTTAAATATTTTATTGTAATTTTTAAATTAAAAATAATTTTTGAAAAATCATAATGTATTTAAATTATTTTATACCATTATAAAATGTAATTTTCTTAATATCAACTTATTCGATGATTCCTTTCTAAAAGGTGTATTTGCTTTTGTTCATTAATATTAAATTTTTAATTAATCTTATTTATTATTAAAAAATAACTTAGCAAATAATTTTATATATTTATATATACAATTTTGTTTCGATTGCTCAGGTTATTTGGTGTCTCTGTCCAAGTCTATTCAAATTTATTCAAAATTTTTAATTTTACTGTAGTTCTTACCTAATTAAAAATTATATTGTCCAATCTTTAAAAATTTATAGGCTTAACTCAAGTTAATTGGGTTCAACTCGCCCAAATCTATCACTTTAGTAAGGGGGTTAAAAGTTATATTGTGACAAATTAAAAATTGATACATAAATTGTGATAAAATTATAAAACTTAAATTGTAGGTTTTAATGTTTTTTTATTTTCATAATTTACATACAAAATTTAATTATTTATATTATTTTATATAAATATATTCTATTAAATTTTTTACATCCTGTACACAGGACAAATTTTTATTAGTATGAATGAGATATAACTTAATTTTTTTTTAAAATTTTTGTCGACCTTCCTAAATTTTTAGTCAAATATCTGATCTAACACAGCATAAAAGTATCTGTAATTGAGGGAGAAAATTAGGGAGGGGTAGTGGCAGCATTCAATAGACTTAAAAAGATGTCTACATTCAATGAATATTCATTTGTCTTGACGAGTGAAATGTGTCGGATGATATTTAAGGTGTGCGCAGTGGGATTGAGACCGTTTAAAAGTAAAATTATAATTTAAATAATAGATTAGTGAATAAGTAATTTTGAATGGATTGGTAAATTAAAAATATTATAATTAATTATCAAATCTTTACGTAACATATAATATTAATTTGTATAATATTTTTTTATATATAATATAAATTAATTTTACATAATATTTTTCATATATATAATTACTAATTTGTAATAAATTTTACATATTAAATTTCTTTTACACTTATTTTTACTTTGATATTTAATTATACGTTGAAAAATATATATGCAA